GGGGAGCAGAACAGGCAGATGGACGAAGTGCACTGCTGAGGGGAGCAGGGGTGGGTCAGGAGGGGTCTGCTGCGCCCTGGGGCAGGCGGGGATCGAACTCATGCAGAAGTGGCTTAAGCTTCTTAGTGCTGTGCTTTGACCCTCTGCGCCACCAGGGAGGGCCATTTATAGAAATCTTTTTAAGGTGCATTTCTCTTTGGTATATAAACAGTTGAAGGTGTTAATGTGTTTACCGAATATTCAAAGCACAAGCTCCGTGACCCTACAATACCTGGAATTTGAACCTTAGTTTGTGTGTGACTAGCCCTGAAGCTGTCATGCGTGGACTGGGCTGACCCTTACACCGGGTGCCGTGGTGATAAACTGACTTTTAGAAAGTAAAAGGCCCTGGGCCCTCCCTGGTGGCGCAGTGGGTGAGGACACAGCCTGCAAGCTCGCTGAGGCCGCTTCAGTGCGAGTTTGATCCCAGCCCCAGAGGTGACCACAGGGCGCGGCAGACCTCTCCTGACCAGCCGCTGCTCCCCTCAGCAGTGGACTTCATTGATCTGCCTGTGCTGCTCCCCACTCTGTCTCTGGTGAAGCCTCTCACTGCCCCTGCACCTCTGGCCAGTACCCCAGTTCTGTATGAATAAATAAATGCATAAATCTTTAAAAAAAAAAAGAAAGAAAGAAAGAAAGAAAGTAAAAGGCCCTGATGCCCTGATGCATAGGGTTTCCTGACTCTGAGTCATACTCATGCCATGTAAGATGCCAGTGGGCTTAACAGCCTGCTTGCAAAATTTCTGAAAATTTAAAACTCGTGTCTTGCACCCTTGCCCTGCTGGCAGCGCTGGCACTGCCAAGGGAAGGGCCGACCGCGTGAGAGAAAGCTGTTGTGAGGAAGCGCAGGCTAGGGCCCGGGCGGCCTGAGCTCCGTGTTAGATTCGCGTACCATCTCCTGGAGTGTGACTGTGTTATTACTCTTGGTCAGCACCCAGATGTATCTGAAAGAAGATTGCCCTTTGATAAAGACTTTGCAGCTGTCCCTCCATGGAATATGAGATCAGAAGATTTGATGCTGACACAACAGCAATAATGATAACCAAATGCGCCCCAAAGAACATTTTTAAATGTTCAGAGACCTGTAGAGAGGCCCCCTTGGTAGCACACCGGGTTGGAGCGCAGCACTGCGAGCTGGCCGTGGCCGCTGTAGTGCGAGTTCGACCCTCGGCCCGGAGGTGACCCCCAGGGCGCGGCAGACCCCTCCTGACCCGCCCCTGCTCCCCTCAGCGGTGTGCTTCGCTGATCGGCCTGTTCCGCTCCCCGCTCTGTCTCTGGGGAGTCCTCTCACCGCCCCTGCAGCTCTGGCCTGCACCCGAGCTCTGTAAGCATAAATAAAGGCTGTAAAAAAAAAAAATTTAAAGCCCTGTAGAGAAAGCTCGAGGGGGTGACAGCGCTGGCTGAGCTGGCCCTTGGTGCCCCCGAGGGGTACCCAGCGGCTCGGGCCGTGCCGGCCTGCACTGACCCTGGGCTCCCTGTGCAGTCACAGAGTTCGTCGGGCTGCGCTACCGGAGGACGGTGGGGATTTTCTACCAAGTTGCCTTCACCGTCGGCCTGCTGGTGCTGGCTGGGGTGGCCTACGCCATCCCCCACTGGAGGTGGCTGCAGCTCACCGTCACGCTGCCCAACTTCTGCTTCCTGCTCTACTACTGGTAAGTCAACTTGGAACAAAAGAGGGACACAATGAAACCTTGTATTTCACCGGCAAGCCCGCCTCCCTACTTCACACCATCCTGCAGCCATCAGGCCTCCTTCACCGTCCCGGCCGGCTGCCCAGGTCGCCCACCTGCGTGTTTCGGGCGTAAATATCTGTCCTCTTAGCCTCAAGTGTCCTTTCACTTTGGCCTCAAGAGTTTTATGCCGAGACCTTCGGCTTCCCCCTTTATTTATGTGGCATTTAAATCAATTTCTAGAGGCTGTGGGACCCTGTAAAGAGACTGACAATATTGCTGTTCCTATTCTTTCCTCTTCCGAGTATTTTAGGATCGACAGCGGGGGAGAAGGCACTGGTTTCCACTCCCCTGTCTATGCCACAGCAGACATCTCCAGTCAATCCCAGATAAGGCCGATATGGTGCCCTAGACAGACAAATCAACCAGTTACCATAGCAAATGGAATCTGTTCATCATCCCTGCCTGAGGGAAAAGTGAAAATAGCAGGAACTATCAGACCCCCCCAGTGCTAGTTTATTTGGGGAAAAAGCAGTAGGGAGGCTGTGTTGTCATCAGATTCTCTCCCAGGCTGCAAGGCCCCTATCTCGTTCCACCTGGACACATCCCCTGTGCTTCCCCTAGCTGTCTTGTCTAAGAACCAAACATTTAAACCGCCGCAGGAAGCCATTCTGCCAACTGCCACTAAAGGCGAGTGATCCCCCTAGTCTCCCCTAGTCCCCCCCTCATCTTCCGGTGTCCATTCTGCCCCTTTAAGCCTCAGAATCCGCTCCTCTTTCTTCCTATCCCCATGAAGAATCTATCCTTTCTTGCCTGGTACACCACAGGTGATCTCGGAGAATTGCCCTGCCCGGCAGGGCCATAGCATAGCAGTGGCTGGACCGCCTCTGAGCAGGCCGCACGTCCGTTCCACGCCACGTCTTTACCCAGGAACTGTCCTTGGTGGCCCTCTCCGGGGAGCGAGCGCCCACAAAACACCCACCCGGAGTTCCTTTAGAGCCTCCCCCATGCACATCCCGGCTCACGTCCGGCTCCGTGACTCCAGGCAGAACATTCCTCCTCCCTTCCAGCCTGAACCAGTGGCCCGAAGAGTCCTCTCCGGACACAGACCCCTGGCTGCTGTCCTCGGGCTCTTCGGCTCGCTGCTTACAGCTGACCACGGCCTGGCTTTGAGGCTCCCCCTCTGAGCGGCAGCCCCTGCCTCCTGCAAGTCAGCACTCAGCATTATCCACTGACACCTGTCCTCCCCGCCACCTGCACATACCCACCTCTACCCATTCTGCCACTCTCACCCCCTTGTGAAGCCAGGGGCGCACCCGCCTGTCCCCTCCTAACGCCGGCCCACCAGCCGCCCGCCAGCCACCCCTGCTCTGCCATTCGCTGCCTTTGCCCCTCTTAACAGAGCCCTGGGGCTTCCTGGACACAGGAGTCAGCATTTGGGGGAGAGGAGACCCACAGCCCCGCCTGGTGGTGGCCCGTGGGTCCAACTGAACCCAGATATGTCAGATGCGCCCAGAAATCTGCCTAGGCCCCGGGCGTGAGAGCGGTGGGTGGCCCGAGAGACAGGCCCTCCCCTCACGGCCTCCCTTTGCCCTAGGTGCATCCCCGAGTCTCCGAGGTGGCTGATCTCCCAGAACAAAAATGCGAAAGCCCTGCGCATCATTAAGCACATTGCAAAGAAAAACGGAACATCTCTGCCGGCCTCGCTCCAGGTGAGGGGGCCGGCCTGACCGCCAGCCAGGACGGACACGGCAGCCTGGGGAGCCCCACCCCGCCCCTCCAAGGGCCCGCAGGGCCGTGGGATTGCGGCTCCCAGGCTCCCGGACCTGGCAGGATTTTTTTTTTTAAAGATTTATTTATTTGTGCATACAGAACTGGGGTACAGGCTAGAGGCTCAGGGGCGGTGAGAGGCTTCACCCGAGACAGAGTGGGGAGCAGAACAGACAGATCGACGAAGTCCACTGCTGAGGGAAGCAGCGGGCGGGCCAGGAGAGGTCTGCCGCGCCCTGTGGTCACCTCCGGGGCAGGCGGGGATCGAACTCATGCAGAAGTGGCTTTAGATTCTCAGTGCTGTGCTTTAACCCGCTGCGCCCCCAGGGAGGGCCCGGGCAGGATATTTTAAAGAACCAGAAAACCCAAAACCGCTTTAAGGTCGAGCGAGGGGCTTCAACCCCGGGGGCTGCGCTGGCCACGCCGTGGTCGCCTGTGCCCCTGCCTTGGTAACGGGCATCCTGGTGACCCCTGCGCCTGGTCACTGTGTGTCTCGTGCCCGTGATTCTTGGTGACTCGCGTGCCTGGGTGACGGTGCCATCAGGAGGCAGGCTTTCCCCGGGGAGCTTCCCTAGACCAGCAAAACCATTGCTTCTGGGACATAAGTAACTGCTCAGCACGGTGCGATACTGCACCCGCTGTCCCAGCACGCCGTCAGCCGTGCCCGAGCGGAGCCGGACGCCGGGGGTCGTTCCCCTGTGTTCAGTGTTCTGTGCTAGGAGGCCTCACCCCTCCGCCAAGCCCCTCCCATCTGACGGAGGCTGCACCTAGAAAACCACGCTGATTAGAAATTCCGGTGAAGCCAGCGGCGTTGTGCGGAGAAGGACTCGGACCCGGCCCGCGTGACCCGCACGAGGGCGTCGGGCTCGGGGCCGTGGGCTCGCTGCCTTGCTGGCTCCGGGCCCTGGATACGTTGGGTTCTCAGGAGCCGGTGTCAGGGGCCCGGGCTGGGCCCCAAGCCCACCGGGGCAGGCGGGCGCAGAGCTCAGGCGGGCCGGCGAGGGCTTGCCGGTGCCCCGCGACCCCCATCTCTCACGCACGTCCTGTCGCTTTGGGAAGGCGGCCAGCGGCCGTTTTCCAGAGGGTTCTCCTTCCAGCGCCCTGGAGACGGAACCTGGACTCTCACCTGGCGCACTTAGAGCAGTCTCAAGGTCAATGTCTGCGCCCAGGGCCCACCTGGACACTGCGAAAGTGCAGACCCAGGTCCAGCCTGGACTCGGCTCCCCGTGAAAGCCCGCGGACGCCAGTCGACTGAGCCAGCCTGCGGGCCCACGAGCCCCAGAGGAGACCCCTCACTCTCCTCACTGACCCCCACTCCCCAGGGCTCGGGTAGCCTGGGGGTAGAGGCACCTCAGCCCTCAGCCCTCAGCGCTCAGGCTGCCGGGGGCGAGGGGCGGGGGGTTGCTGTCTGCGAGTGCCTGAGACCCGCTTGCTCTTCTGTGAAAGGGGGTGAAACAGAACTGCTTCTGGGGAGCCGGAGGGTTAAACGAGGCTGGGGAAGGGCTGAGCAGGGTGTTGGGCACCACATGCACCCACAGGGGTGGGTCTGGGGGGTCCCTCAGGGCCAGGTGCACGAAGCCAACCTGATGTCTCCATCCTTTAGAGCCTCCGACCTGATGAGGAAGTTGGGGAGAAGATGAACCCTTCATTCCTTGACTTGGTCAGGACCCCTCAGATTCGGAAACATACCCTAGTCCTGATGTACAACTGGTAAGGGGCCTTTGTCCCCGGAAAATCCCCCCAAGTCAATCACTGCCATCCACAGGAAGGGCGGGGACAAGAGCAAATCAAAGCAGCCAGCCCCAGGGTCAGGAGGTGGGCAGAGCGG